TATTAAGAGATATCACCAACACAACGAGCATCTCTATTTAAATTTTTATCAATTTCAAACTTCACATTTTTTGGGGTATGGACAACTCGCTCCCCCGTAACTCGCCCCAGGCATCGACAACTCGTTCCCTACAACTTGCCTCCGAATAACAAACCTCCAGACAACTCGCCCCGGACGACTCACACTCTGACAACTAGCTCTTGGACCATTGACACCTATCAAACAAAAATTACATTACAAATGCCAACTTTAATTTAAACTGTAAAAAACGAAGCTTTAATTAGTTGTGGGAAATCATCGTAAATGGTCTAGGACCGAGTTCTTGAGTGATGAAAAAAAAGTGACCGATAGTGACTGATGGGTGGTGGGGTTGTCAAACTTTTCCTGTTATTCAAGTAATTTTTTTGAGTGGGGAAGGAGGGGAATCTTTTCATACCCATGTATGTTATTAATTTCGGATACTTTCATTAGGTGGACTGCGACCAAAGTCTGGGGGTATAAAGTCCAAAAATAGCCGGTACTTAACAACCGGCCAAAAATAGGAAGCGTAGGGGTTTGCCATTATGGGGAAAGTGTCCGCGTCTAGGATGAAGACTCCCTTTAAGCCTAGATATAATGCTTACCCTCGACATCATTATTGGTGCGTTGCCGTCCATCTAACGTCTGCTGATTTCATTCACCAATTGGAAAAGTCGGACCACGTTGACCACATCGCTGTGGTTTTCCAATGTAAGTATCATCAAAATAGTTTGCAATTGGCATGGCTTCATCAGGAAATTAGTCACTTTTGGTTAATTTTTCAAACGCTTGGACTACATTATCCGGCTAAACAAATGCCAGACCCGGTAGCATTGTTATCCATCGGGCAAATTCGTGATCAGTTTCGTACCGTGACTACAAATAATTTTTTTTAATTTAAATACCATAGTATTGTAAAACTTTGAGTAATACATATTTTCAAAAACACAAAAAGTTTTTGCTTTCAACATTGTGATAGATGGAATAAACAACCTGTTTTTTCAATTCCTGAAAATTCGATGTCAAACGCCTATGAATCATGAAATTAAAATAATTGTATTTCTAATTATAGATAATTTAAAACCGACATAGCGGCTTGCCCAAAGTTAGTCATCAGATGTTGGTCTTAATCCAGGTTGCACGTTCTTCAATTCGAGCCACATTTTGGCATACGTGGAACACATTTTATTTGACAAAAGAGCATATACACATAGAATGACCGAGTTTAAATAGACGACATATATAGAGTATTGTTTTTCGAACGACTGCGGATCAGTGCTAAACGTACCGTCGGCAAACCATTCGGTTGCTTGAGCCAAAATCTGCAAGCTAGCTTGAGTGGCAAAAACGAGAATGCACCCGGGTAAAAGTTCTTGTTCGGAATCGTACATTAGAAAATTTTGTACAACACCGTCGAAGGTTTTTTTTAAAGATTCTAAAATAAATATTCTATTTACGAAAACTTTCAATGGGTTTCTAGCGTTTGCATTGATCGCTCACGAATGTTTGCAATAGCATCTAGAGCAAAGGACGGCCAGCTTATCCATGAGTGTGATCTCTCACATTTTTAACCACTGAACCTAGTGTCCAAATTAATTAATTCACAGACAAGAGAATTAATAATGTACAATAAAGTAATCCAGTATACGCGCGTTTGGCTGATATGCTGCCTCATTAACTTTTGCTGCTGAATTACTTTACTGTACCGGCATTTCGATTTTAACCGCTCAAGTACTCATGAGGATAGCAGTGCGTTAAGAAAAATCTGTATATATTTCGTTGCTGTAATTTATTTATAAAACATAAAAACGACGGGTTTAAATTAGCGAATGTTTGTTTGTACCCAAATATTGTTTTTTCCGAAAATTTTTTGTTTTGTACTGCAAGTAGTCCGGGGCTGAGTTGTCCGCGGAGGCGAGTTGTGGAAGCGAGTTGTCTGGGGGTAAATTGTGGGGGGACAAGTTGTCCACAAACTAAATTTTTGGTAACTGTCAGGTAGTTTCGGTCACAGATTACATTCTTGTCTGAAACCATTAACGACTTTAAAGCATTCAGTTTCTTCACCGCTGATTTTGACGCACGACTCAAAGTGACTATATAAATCTTATTAATTCTTTATCAATTTCATTTTTTTCTAGAATCATCCATATGGATTCATAGACTTAGGCAAAGTCAACAAAACAAATGATTAGTTCTTCATTATGTTCCAAACTCTTTTCAATTAGTTGTCACAGAAGAAAAATCTGATCAGAGCAACTTCCTTGTTTTCTAAAATCGCATTAATTTTTTCTCAACTGTCTATCAATTTTATCCGTAATTTTGTTCAAAGTTACCAACTCAGTAGGCTGATGCTTCTTGAATTACTACAATCCATTTTATCGCCTTTTTTAAGAATGTGAATTATTAGTGCCTTTTTCTAGTCATTTGAAATTTGTTCTCAATTTCATACTGTCAACATTACTTTTTATCACCAGACAATTGAAGCAATTGTGCCTATGCCTGGGGCACTACCACTTCTCAACTGTTTTAATGCTTTTTCCACCTCCTCCAAATAATTTCAATCTAAAAGTTATCAGCATTTGTCATATCTTTTCAACCCTGCTGCTTGAGATTTACAAATTATTCTAATAAATTTATTGTTTGCTGAATATTTTGCGGTTCATCTCTATTTAAAAGTTTTTGAAAATGTTCACGCCATCTGTCAAAAATCTTTTCTTTTGACGTGATTATTTTCCATCTTTTCCTTTGACTGTCTGCAGATGAATCAATTTATTGTCAATGTTTCCACAAAAGTTTTATTTTGGCAAACAATTTCTTACTGTCCCCTTTTTTATTGGCCTCTCCCATTTTCAACACTGTTGATTCCACAACGTAGATTCTGTCCAATTTAATGCTTTATTTTAGCTGTATTCTTTTATCCCTCAGCCGTTTCCTTGCATTGACTGTATCGTTCTGGAAGTACATTTTTATAAATAGCTCAGTTCTTTTGCGATTTTTCTGATCTCTCATTAATCCATTTGTTTTTTTCCTATTTTCAAGCACATTTCTAGCAACATCATTGATAAATTTCTTGAAGTAACTCCACTCCAAGTATGCGGCTAAGTAGCCACAAAATCATCTGTGAAGTTTCCCAGTGCCTCAAATTTATTTTGCAATTTTACCTGGATTTGACTGGTCTCTATTTATTAGCTTTTCAGTGTCATATTTCATGGTGCGTCTCTTCTTTGGTGTGCTCAATTTGATTTTAATAACGGCCAGTAACAGAAAATGATCAAAATCAGTTTCTGCGGATATATAAACTTTTGTTTTCTTTATCGATGTCAGCCATTCTTCTCTGGTTATAATGTAGTTGATAAAGTGTGATGTTTTATATGTTTTATTTAATATATCAATAAATTCAATTCAACACGAGTGTGCGTTACGATATTTCCGTATATTTTATTATCGTCCAAAAGATACTAAATATATAAAGATACAAATGTCACATCTCCCCTTTTAAAAGTTCATTTTTATTATTTTTGTTTAATATACATATTTAATTAAGAACATAGTCCTTGAATCTAACAGGGAGTTTTGATGAACGACTACTTCGTGTCCTCAGGATGGATTCTTGAGAAGACTGTTTTCTTTTTATTGCCTTGTTGAGATTTCCAGGTTTTGACAATAAGCAAGCTGTTTACCCAGTCTGTTGGCTCATCTTTTTTTCTATTTTTCCATTTTTCAACAAACTATCTAATTTCTGCTTGAGTTTTGGCTGTAATGCTAGTGGTAATCGTATTGGCGGATGTATCACTGGTTGTACTGATGGGTCTACTGTAATGTGATGCTCTCCAGGGAGACAACCAAGTCCTTTGAACACATCAGAAAATTCATCAAATATCTGTGCTGATGTTCTTTTTTCTACACTGGTTTTTATGGTATCATCTCTGTGTAGAAAATTTAGTTTGCTGCATGAAGGCAGTCCTATCAGTGTTGGGGCATTGCTATTAATGATATAAAATTCTAGAAACGTTTTCTTACCCTTAATTATTGTTTTAACAAATGATGATCCTAGATGCTGAAGTTTTCCACTGCCATAAAATTTAAGAACTGTGTTGGTCTTTGTTAGTTTTGGTCTTTTAGGAAGTTGTTCTAAAACTGTTTTTGACATGACGTTGACTTCAGCACCTGTGTCTAATTTGCATCTGACTTTCATGCCATTTAGGTATAGTTCTTTCCACCAACAATTTTTTTATTCGCAGTGCAGGCTAATTCACCAATGACGAAGCTGTTTATATTTTCCTCAACTGCATGAATTGATGATCAAGATGATGGCGATGCTGAACGTGAATGGTTGTCTGTAGATTTTTTAAAACTTTTATTTCTTCCTTTGTTTTACAAGTTGGGGGCTTTACACATCTTACCAGAATAGTTTTGTTTTAAACATCTGTAACTGTACTACTACCATCTGTAACATTGTACTACTACCACCAATCAAAATTACAACACACAACCTTCGTCAGCGCAAACATAAATATCAAGTCGTCGCCCAATCTACATACCAGGAAAAGACCTTCATCACAAGACACCTCAAACATATTAGCACTTAAGAAAACTTCATCATTACTGAACTAGTTTTTACTTATTGATCACCTCACTTTTATCGATCACCTCACTAACTCACTAAGTCATCATTTAGTCTATTAATAAGTCCCCAAATATATTAATACTCATTAAACTTTTTCACACACAGGCCTAGCCTTTATCTATTGATCACCTCACTAACCCACTAAGTCATCATCTAGTCTATCAATTTGCCGTTACTTATTTTATATTCCATCGTCAATTACTTTTCTTTTATTTGTCTTATTATTATTTATTTTTATTCAAACATATTTTATTTTTCATGTTTTATCATTTCTCTCCCTCACTTTTTGTATTTATTTTCTCACTTATTTGTTTAATTTTGTTTCACTGCCTTGCATGTTGTTACAGTTTCTGCGTCTGTCAGATCCTGATTTTTAAAGAATAATAAAAAAAAAAAAATTGTTTTCCAAATGATGGGCATTGTTTCATAGAATGAATTGGGCCGCATCTTCCACAGCCATGTTTGTTCATTTTGTCATTATTTTGGTCTTTATTCTTGCCAGACCTCACAGAGTTTATTGTTGTTGGTAACTCGTCACCTTTTATGGTTTTTAATTGTTCTCGAGTAACCTCAGCAGCTCTGCATAACTGAAGTGCCTTTGTGAGAGACAATTCTGGTTCTCTCAACAATCTTTCCTGAAGACGTGCATCTGCACAACCCAAAACTACTCTGTCACGAATCAATGACTCCTCCTGTTCACCAAATCCACATGATTTGGCTTAGAGACGTAGCGTGGTTACAAATGAATCTACTGGCTCATTTGTGGCTTGTGAGGTTTTCCAAAACTGGTACCTTTCAAAAACAACGTTTTTACGTGATGAGCAGTACTCTTCAAATTTTGCTTTTACTGCAATTGTTCTATGTTTGTCCTCTGGTGGGTCAAAAGTGAATGTGTTGAAAATGTGAAGTCTCTCATC